TTTCGATTAGATTAATTGCTGTTATATTACTAGTTTTCTTTTGTATAGGAGAAGCGCACAATTGGTGAACCAATTCCGCGAATCGTTTCATACAAAGACGTGGAAGAAGAGCCCGAACCAGAGTCTTTCTCTCTCCATTCACTCATTCGGAACTACTATATTCCATTCATTAATAAGAAATTTGTAAAGGTACGTTTTTTTCGGAGTGTATATATATTGCTAGGAAGGCTTCCTAACTCTTGACAATTCTCGGAACCAACTTATATGTTGTTGTGGGCATGGAATGTATAACCACACGGGCTTGTTCTACCCATTTGGCTTTACATGAAATCTGAATCCTCAAAAAGATGTTAAAAAACCCATGTGAAAATTAATAAATAACAAAAGAATGTTAAAAAAACAACGTCAAAACGGTGTTTCAGATAGGAGTATTATGTGGCTCATTGACTCTGTTAGTGTTGGCTTTATGTGGAATGCGGCGGGCGGCGATTGGACTCGAACTCAGCGATGTTCTGCCAGAACACACTGCGCCAGCCAAGTTCCTTCAAGCAAGAGATAAATACTTTAGGTAGGTTGGAGGAATCACTCTGGAAACTTCGTAATCCTGATTCCCATAACTTTCTTTGGCATGAAGAAATGAAATGTAAATATGAGCAGTTCCATATAAGGCTCAGCTCGTGGTAAAACGTTTCATGTTTCAGTTTCTATCCAATGTTTGCTGTGATCAAAGGACCGAATATTGATTACGCCGTACAACAACAACGAATCGATAAATATCGTAGAGCTATAGGTTGGTTCGATATTTACGGGCTCATTTAGTCACTACTGAACCAACGTATCATACTGTATTCTTTTGCAGCGTCATCCAAATACGTGATAAAAACGAAGTCGGGTGAACCATCGGAGAAATACTGGCTAGGAATGATGCGGGATTGGTTGGCTAGCATACAGAAAGCATATGATGACGAAATGGCTCTGGGAAAGTAAGTAGGATGCTCTTACAAATGATGAAAATTCATTTCGGGTGTGGTTGATGCAGACATGTAGTAGGAGAGTTGTCTGGGTATGGTAACCAACCCCCTGGAGGACATGATGATTCAATCTTGTTCGATCTTTTCCGTTTACAATTCAATGCTTTGTGTCCACGATAAATTAAACTTCACAGTCCTCATCAAACAAATATACCGAGAACCTCAATAATTCCATTTTTTTCATTCGAGCCGGCGTTTTAAAAAGAGAAGCGATATTTGCTCTATCAATCACCGGAATGCGTTCATGGAGCAGGCTGTCACCCTTTAGCTATAGCTTAGGAAGTCAGGAGTAGTAACCAATGTAAATCAGTCGGTGAATATTTGCGTTGGCAACATAAGTACTTGTCGTTTATTTTCAAACCCGAAAATTTCGCCCTTCAAAGAATGAAAATGTTTTGTTAGCAAGCGCATGTACATCTTGCATAGAACTTCACGTAGTTTCAGAATATTTAAAACGGCTTCGGTTGAGCGACTAATATGAATGATCTTTAGTCGTATGAAGCTGAAAGCGAATCGGGCGGAAAATTAGCACTCTCGACCAACTGCCCTACTATTACAGTAGAGTCGAAGTGCTAAAATCGCTTAAAGCTGCTCCAGTAGCATTGGAAAAGGTCAGCTAGAACGCTTCAAGCCAAGGGAATCCTCACTAGACGCCTTTGGCAAGAATTTCATGCAATTTGAAGCGTTACCAGACCTTCAACCTCGCCTATGATAGTGGCAGGATGCACGTCTGTTCCACCTGAAATTTTATGCTAATATTTGAATGTTTCGCTGATATGTTTTGCATGTTCTGATAGCAAATTTCGTGCTCTATAACACTGCTATAGAAATCTCTTCTTCCAGAGGTGTTTGCTTTCTGTTAAGCTTGCAGAGTTTATCGTTACCGGGAACGCGAAGTCGTTGAGAACTAGCGTTCCCGTTCTCCACGAATTTTATGCTAACATTTGAATGTTTCGCTAATGTTTCTATATGTTCTGATAGCCAATTTTGTGCTCTATAACACTGCGTGCAGTTATTTTGAAAATCGCTTTAATGAGCCTTGAACCTTGTTTCAAGCGTCTTATTAACACGGAATGTCAGCGTCGATACAGCATGCCAGCACTTTAGAAATGCTCCTCCTTGTCGCATCAACAGAGGGTAGCAGCTACCACTAATTTCTTGAACGTCTGAACCAATTTTGGGCTGTTTTGAGAGAGAGGGCATCTTCTCCGTACACTTCGCGAATTTCCCGAGCAGCATCAGCAGCTCTGATACCTCTGTTGAATGCGAAAAGGAGGAGATGTCTGAAGTGCTGATGCTTATCGACCTGACATTCCATATTATCCACCTGAAAAACAAGGTTCATCAAACGGATTTTCAAAATAACTGCAAAACAGTGTTATAGAGCCACGAAATTGCTATCAGAACATATAGAACACATTAGCGAAACATTCAAATGTTAGCATAAAATTCGTGGAGAACGGGAACGCTAGTTCTCAACGACTTCGCGTTCCGTAATGATAACCTGAACTTAACAGAAAGCAAACACCTCTGGAGAACAGATTTCTATAGCAGTGTTATAGAGCACAAAAAATTATGCTATCAGACCATCGGAAAACACATCTAGGCGAAACATTCACAATCATCAGTAGCATAAAATTATTGTGGCTGGAACAGACGGAGGCTGTTCCCTAAACTCATCGTGGGGTCCGGAAGGTGAAGGTTGGTAACTTCAAAATTCTTGAAATTCGTTCCAAAGCGTCCTAGTGAGATTCCCTTGCTGGAACTTCTAGCTCGACCTTTTCCAAATGTATGGAGCAGCTTAAGCGATTTTAGCACTTCGACTATACGTAAATAGAGGCAGTTGTCGAAGGTGCTAATTTTCGCCGACTTCGCTTTCAACTTCAACGACTAAAAAATCCACAAAAATTATTCCCTCAACCGAAGCCGTTTTGATATTCTAAAACTACGTGAAGTTTCCTATCAGATGATATCAAGCTTGCTAGCAAAACATTTCATCTTTGGAACGAAATTTCCGGTTGAAAAAAACGAAAGTACTTATGTGCCAACCCAATACATATCCGCGATAATCGGCTTGGCGATGATATGCACACTCGCTTTTGCTGCATTAGAAAGCATAGCACACCAGTGCGACAATTATGAGTCCCCGCCCAGTTGTTAATCTCGGAATACTTTGTTTTACTTTTTACTTTTACTTTGTACTTTTTTTTCTGCTGGCTTTTCATGTCTAATTGACTTGACATACTGTGGATCACCCATCAGGTTTGTGTGAATAGTGGCCCTGCATTATGCTAAGCGAATGATGTAAACCGTGCTACCCGTCCTTGATATGATTCACGTTCTCCTTCCCACTTTCCAATTCTTAGGTTTTGGCATTCTGGACGACATTATTGCCGTCGTTGGTTAGTCCCGCCCATACGTTTGTCGTGGAATGTGTTTCAAAAAGAGCAAACTTGACGGGTTTATAATGAGCCTAAACATTCAGGAGTTGCTGCTTACTCGCCTGATACCCTTAATTTTAATCGTCAATCTATTTCAGATTCAATTTAACCGATGGTGAACTCAAAGGTAACGTCAGTGAAGATGCTCAGATTGCACATCGTCTCATCTGTAGTACTGGCCACAAGTATCGATGTGAAGGAAGGGTGAGCACTCATACTGTTCTTTTACTAGGCGTTGGAATTCTAAAAATCTTAGCCGGAGACTTCGTACTAGGCAGAAGAAGGTCCAACTTTCTCCCTTCTAGGTTGGTAAGGTACGATTGGTTGACGGCACGCAAACGATCAACTATGATGGTTTCTACAACTATTTGACAGCGTGGTACAACCAGGATAATATGATGTAAGATTCATATTCTCCATTTATCCACACTTTTTTTTATTCTTTTACAGTTTTCTTTGACCTATCAAGAATACTACACCCGAATTTATGTTCCGTTTCAGGTATTACGTGTCACAAGCATCTTTCTATCCGACTCCACCCAGGTGGTCGATTACCGACAAGAAAGCGCCGCTGCTGGTCCCGCCAGCTGAACCATTGGCTTATTCGCAGATACCTTTCTACTTGACTGGTTTGACAGATACACCTGTTATCATCGATATGATCAAGGTAGGTGTGGGCATTTCCTATGAAGTTTTCCCTGATTCTGTCACGGCTGTTTCCTCACTAGGAGGTAATCGTGATCATTTTCCAGGAGATTAGAGCCACTTGTGATCGCTTCGTCGAAGAAGGTCTTCCCAACTTCCCTCAAGGCATCGCGTTCACATTCTGGGAGCAGTATCTTCATCTGAACGGCAATCTTTTGACGGTAAGTGATAAAAATGTAGTTCTTGTGGTTTTATTTGTCTAGCTTATACTTATTTATTTTTCATTTGATATCCTATAATTTTGTTGGAATTGTGATACTTTTAGGCCATTGGTATCATAGCATTTGCTGTGTTCGTCGTCATTTCGATACTGTTGTTCAATCCATGGGCAGCGTTCAATATTCTGGTGATTCTTATCGGTAAGTGGTGATTTTTAGGCAGATCCAATACCACTAACATTTTTAACTGTGATGGTAATGCGTCAGCAATTAAAACTGAATTTTCTAATGGTACCCCCGTCGGAAATTGAGAAATTATTAACTCATGGAAAAAAAGTGCGTACAGATTAATCCTTCGGTTCTTCAGTGATGACAGTCGAGCTGGCTGGTTTTATGGGTTGGGCTGGAGTGAAGATGAATCCTGTATCTGCAGTGACTTTGATCACAGCTGTTGGAATTGGCGTGGAATTCACTGCTCACGTTGTTTTATCCTATCTGACGTCGCTTGGAACTAGGTGTGATGAACTTTCTTCTTTTTCTTCTTGTGCTTCTTCTTCTTGACCAGGTTAACTATTTATGTATTTTCATGTGCATTTAGGTCCGAACGTACATCAAGTGCTGTTGATCGCGTTTTCGTACCTGTCATCCATGGTGCATTGTCGACATTACTGGGAATCCTAATGCTTGGATTCTCTGAATTCGAGTAGGTTGATTTGATTTTCTTCTTCAGTACGACCCCTTTCGCAACCTATCTACCTTTCTTATGAGCTTTACCAAAATTTCGCCCCGGAGTATGGAGGGAGGGGGCGGAACGGGTTTACATAGTTCGCTTGAAATTGGAAAAAATCGAGTATCGATGAATCAATTTTTTCCGAGACCACAGCCCCCCCCCCCCTTCCCAGTCGTTATTTTATTTAAGGAGGGTTGCGCTGCTCCAAATACCAGTACATATCTGCTCAGCATTCCCTTTAACAATGCGTCTCTAAAACTTTCCAAGCCCATTCTCCTCTTGCAT